GTATGATATTATTTCTCCACTTAGAACATTGGCTATTTGCCTTCTATAGTAACGTACTTGTAATCTCAGTACTCCAGAAGTGGATATAGGAAATCTAGGAGTTCTTCAGCTACATTGTTAGTTCATGGCTTGCCTGATGTACATGAGATACTGTCTTTCTATGAATGAATAAAGCTACTCCAGTTCAGATCCCCTAACCAGGTTATGTCATAACTACATGCATCGCCCATCTGTGATCCTACTCTCCTTATAGTGTTATCCTGCGGTGGAATGCCTCTTCCCTTGAATGCTGCCAGATAAGGCATATTCAAAGGGACACATAACTGGCAAGCGTTCTTCAAATTTGCATCCTCCGTGCCTGGCATACTTATGGGGGGGTGGGGGGAGAATGAATGAGAATGTCTAGGCACACAGAAGCTAAGCATGTGGACATGAGAAGACATCAGATGATGGTCTCTGCCTTTACCTTGTTTTGAGACAGGGTTTCTTTATTGGTTCTCTGCTGCTCACACTAAGCTTGATGGCCCTTGAGCTTCTGGGGATTCTCCAGTCCCCACTCAAATATTATTTAGCTTTCATGTGGATTCTTAGGATGCAAACTCAGGGTATCATGTTTACATGGCAAGTGCTTTTAACTCCACGGAGCCATCTCCTCAGACCTGTTTTGCTTTAAGATGTCGTTTCCTTCTATTGAATGCTAGTGTGGTACTCAGTGTACAGTGATCTTCCTGCATCTGCCTTGAGTGCCAGGTAAGATTGATTTATTATGTGTACAGTGTTCTGCCTGCATGTATGTCTGCAGGCCAGAAGAGGGCACAAGATCTTATTACAGATGGTTGTGAGCCACAATGTGGTTGCTGGGAAATTGAACTCGGGACCTCTGGAAGACAAGCCATCTCTCCAGAGAATCTAAATAGTTGAAAAACAGATGGGAAATTGAAAGAAATGAGAATTTAACGATAATGTTTATTCTAAATTATCACTTGCTGCTTAAATTTCTGTTACATACTGAGTGTGGTAATGCATGCCTTTAATCCCAGCACTTGGTAGGCAGACAGATCTCAGTGATTTCAAGGACATCCTTGTCTACTGCCCTAATTCCAGGACAGCCAGGACTATTACACAGGGATACCCTATCTTGGAAACAAAAAACAGGGCCTGTCTCAGCCTTTTAACCTCTGGGGTTATAGGTAACTGTATGCTACCTTGCCCAGCTCAGGAAGAGAACCTTTTTGTGCAGGAAGGCACCATGACATCTCAGATTCCGTATTCATGTTAGCATTAACTGCAATCTCAAAAACAAAACAAAATGGTACAGGGCTGCAGAGATGGCTCAGCAGTTAAGAGCACCTGCTGCTCTTCCAAAGGACCCAAGTGTGATTCCAAGCATCCACAGAGCTTGGAATCAGATACCCTCTCCTGGTTTGTGTGGGCACCAGACATACAAGCCTTGCACAAACAGTCATTCATGTAAGCAAACAGCCCATGTTATAAATGGAGAAATATCATCATCTGTTTGGAGAATGCAACACAATACCCACAGCAATATGTAAAATTTAAGGACCAGTATAGAGAACTAGCAGCATAGCTTGCTTGCCTAGTATGTGGGAAACGCTGAATTTATCCCTAGCAAAGCCTCCCCCAACTGAAAAACAGATGAGCAAATAACACCAAACCAAAGTTGTAGCAAATTAAGACACAAAAACAGTTAGCTGCCGGGCGTTGGTGGCGCACGCCTTTAATCCCAGCACTCGGGAGGCAGAGGCAGGCGGATCTCTGTGAGTTCGAGGCCAGCCTGGACTACCAAGTGAGTTCCAGGACAGCCTCCAAAGCCACAAAGAAACCCTGTCTCGAAAAACCAAAAAAAAAAAAAAAAAAAAAAAAACAGTTAGCTAATTAACACATTTAAAATTGTGTTCTTTTAAAGTTATTCTTGCTGAGTAGTGGTGGCGGGCGCATACCTTTAATCCCAGCACTCGGGAGGCAGTGGCAGGCAGATTGCTCTGAGTTCGAGGCCAGCCTGGTCTATAAGATCTAGTTCCAGGACTACCTCCAAAGACACAGAGAAACCCTATCTTGGGGGGACATGTTATTATTCTCACACAGGTATGGTGTACATGCCATTAATCCAAGCACTCAGGAGGCAGAGGTGGGAGGATCTCTGAGCATGAACTACATGGAGAGATCCTGTTTCAAACAAACAAAAAAGTACAATTACTCTGTTAGAAGTTGTCATTTGTAATTACGAAATAATATAACTATATATGTTAATATTTTGTGGTCTTTATGCAGGCACTGAACTCACCTTCAATTACAACCTAGAATGTCTTGGGAATGGAAAAACTGTCTGCAAATGTGGAGCCCCGAACTGCAGTGGCTTCTTGGGTGTAAGGCCAAAGGTACCACTTTCCAAAGTTTTATATTAGCAACAGTGGTGTGTCTTCCCTGTACCATTGTTAGGTACAGTGCTTGGGATGAATCTTCATTTTAAGAAGCTATTCTTTGAAATAATGGAGTTGATCATCAGTAGTGCCACTGACAGTTTATTGCACATTGTCATGATCTAGGTTTTGTTGTAGGATTTTGAGCAATTTTAACCAAAATTTTAATTCCAGCACTTTTGAGGCTGAGGCAGGCAGAACCCTGTGAGTTTAAGACCATCGTGGTCTATAAATTGAGTTCCAGGATAGCCAGAACAAAAAAACAAACAAACAAACATTGAAGTTGGTTACATTGTGGTGCCGGCTCACCTCATACCTTCTAGTAAGTTATTTACATTCCCCAGGTGGGTGGTTGTCTTTTTTTCTTTCTAGAAGTATCAGTAGAATTTAGTAGGCTATAATACCATAGATAGAAATAGAACACTGGAGCCGGGTGTTAGTGGTGCACTCCTTTATTCCCAGCACTCGGGAGGCAGAGGCAGGCAAATCTCTGAGTTCAAGGCCAGCCTGGTCTACAGAGCGAGTTCCAGGACAGCCTCCTAAACAACACAGAGAAACCCTATCTCGAAAAACAAAAAACGAAAAAAAAAAAGAATTTGCAGAGAGACAGAGAAAGAAAAACACTGGACTGATGTAGCTCTGTGGTAGTATGCTTTCCTAGCCCATGCTTCCATGCTAAAATTATCTATATATAGAAAACTTGATCTCAGTGTTGATGGTGCACGCCTTTAATCCCAGCACGCAGGAAGCAGAGGCAGGTGGATCTTTCTGAGTTCGAGGCCTGGTCTACAAGAGCTAGTTCCGGGTCAGCCTCCAAAGCCACAGAGAAACCCTATCTGAAAAACCAAAAAAGAAAAGAAAACTTAATCTCACTATTACAACAAAAATAAACATTACTGTGTCTTTCAGGGTTTGAGTGTTTAATTGTTAAGGGGATTTGTCTTTTATGTTGTGTGTATGGGTGTTTTGCCTGTCCAGATGTCTGCATCACATGCATATAGTACCCTGAGAGGCCACCAGGGTCATTGGAGTCTCTAGAACTGGAATTAGAGCTGGCTGTGAATCTCCTTATGGACATTTGGAAGAATAGCCAGTGCCTCCAACCCCTTCTCTTATTTAAAAGAGAATCTTGCTATCCTGTCCAGAACAGCCTTGATCTTGGGTCTGCCCTCCTGTCTCTGCCCCCATTATATGCTGGGATTATAGGTGTGCAGCCCCATTCTTGGCTGCTGTTTTTCACTGAAGGCTTTTGTTTGTTTATTCATTTGTTTTCAGAGGGTCACCTACAGGAATCCTGTGAGAGCAGGGTTCGGGACCAGGGCCTTCATCTGCTTAGCCATCCCTCAGGCCCCTGATGGTTTCCTTTTCATTTAGTGGCTTTTTTTTTTTTTTTTTTTTTTTTTTTTTGATTGTTGGTTGATTCTTTGTTTGTTTTGTTCTGTTTTTGGTTTGGTATTCTGTTTTCATTTTGAGACATGGTCTCACTATGTAGTTCTAGCTGTCTTGGAACTTACTATATAGACTAGGCTAGCCTAAAACCCAGAAAGATCCACCTGTCTCTGCCTCCCAAATGATGGTATTAAGGTGTGCATTACCATGCCTGGCTGCCAAGCCTAATGACCTGGCTTCAGTCTCCAGAGACCTAGAGGTTGGGGCAGGGACTGAGGCCTTCTACTTCTACGTGTCATCTGATCTTCACACCCATGCACACACCATTGTATACTTGTGCCATACATTAACACATAGTGCATACAAGAAGTGGATGGAGTCAATTGTTATTTTTTAAAATGCTCCTTTGTATCTTTAACCCTGCACTTGTGAGTCAGAAGCAGGTGATTTCTTTCTCTGTCTCTCTCCTCTCCCTCCCTTCCTCCCCCCTTGGATGAATTACACAAGCTTTATTTTCTGTCATACAGGGCTGTCTCCCTAAAGCAGATTCTCCCAAACACAGAAGAAATATTTTGTTTTGTTTTATAGTCCCAAAACTGCAAGTCTAGGGGATTTCCAATGATGTTTGGTTATTTGGGAATTTGGCTGGTTGAACCATCTTATCAGGGTGGTTAATGAAAAAAAGAAATAAAAAGGAAAGGACATGACTGCTCCTAGGTATGGTGGAGGAGAAAGCTTATTATTGACAAGGGAGAGCATAGCCAGAGGCAGGGGCATCTGGGAGAATCCAGAGTGAATGTGACCCTGAGCCATATGGGGAAAGGGAAGAGAGGGAAGCCATGAGCAGGGGCCAGAGGCTCAAAGAGAGCAAACCGAAGGCCAGGTAACCAACATGGTTAAATCTAAATTATATAGGGAAGGGCAGCTGGGGGAGAGGGGAAAACAGGTGAATCTCTTAGTTTGAGGCTAGTCTGCTCAACAAAGCAAATACTAGGATAGAGAAGGCTATGTAAAAGAGACCCCTTCTCAAAAAAAAAAAAAAAAAAAACTTTTTTAATTAAAGAAGCACTAAAATGCACAGGGATGGGCCTGTGCCACAAGGACAGAGCCAAATGACAAGCATTCTCAAAGGTCAAAGCTTGACAATTTGAAAACTGACAATATAATACATACATTTTAATTTTTATTCCATTTTATATGTATATGTGTTTTGTTTGCATGTATGTCTGTCTGTACAAGGCTTTTATGCATGGTGCCCACAGAGGCCAGGAGAGGTGGAGTTAGAGTTAGAGCCCTTTTGAAGAGCAGCAGGTGCTCTTAACTGCTGAGCCATCTCCTCTGCCCCTGTACTGTTCTGTTTTGTTTTTGAGATTGCAGGTAATATCGGGCATCTCAGCTGTCATGGTGCCTTCCCGCATTTTCACTTTTATGTTTGCAGCAGTCTCTTGAGTGAGGTTGAAAAGATGTTAATGTAGTTAAGATTACATACCTGAGTCATTGACATGGTATTGACTGATCAATATCTGACTTCCAGAATCAGCCCATTGTCACAGAAGAAAAATCAAGGAAATTCAAAAAGAAGCAGCATGGGAAACGCAGGAGCCAGGGTGAAGTCACAAAGGAAAGAGAGGATGAGTGTTTCAGCTGTGGGGATGCTGGTCAGCTGGTCTCCTGCAAGAAGCCGGGCTGCCCGAAAGTTTACCATGCCGACTGTCTCAATCTGACCAAACGACCAGCAGGTTGGTGCCAAAGTCCATTCAGAGCACTCCTTGTTTTCTGTCAGTTTTCAGTGTCTGATGCCATTTGCTTCAGTCTGAAAGAGAATGCTATTTGTGAGCACATGCCAACCCTGAGGGACCTGGTCCATGTTCATATTTTGACAATAAAGTAATAGCAAAGGCTTGGAATTGTAGATTGGTTATAGGGAAGGAAACAGAAACTTGTTTTATTTCCATTCAATTATTTCATCTTTCCAGCAATTCATAAAAAATTGTTTTCTGTCCGTATGTGTATGGGGAAATGCAAATGAAGACTGATGAAGTTACTTGCAGATAGTTGAAAGAGCTGCATTGAAAGACAAGTGTTCTGACCCCAAGGCCACTAAATCACGTTTCCTTTCCAGGGGCATGGCAGGGACTTTAGCTGTTCCAGTCAATGAAAGCCTTTTACCCATAGTTTCTCTCAACCCCACAATAGTAGTCTTTTCCTTTGGAGATGAGATCATTGTGTCAGTTTCCACATGAGAGAGCTGTTCAGGTAGAAGAGGAAGCCAGGAACTTGTGTTGGGAAAAGTTGGTATCTTTTGGGCAGTGGTTGGGTCTCAGGATTTTAGCCACTGGGACAGGCTAACTATTGAGAATTACAACCAAAACATGCATAGGAAGCTATTTAAAGATCTTTTTGATGAACACATCCCTAGTGATATGTTAATGAACACATACCACTAATTCCTGCTTCCAAAATGTACAGAAAGTGGAGAACTTTAGGGTAGAAATTAGTGAAGTGTGTTTCTAAATTGATTTCCTTTGTATAGTCCAGAACAAAGTCAAGTAGAATAAGGTACCAGGAAGTAGAAATACGGGATTTTTTTTTTCAGAATCACTTTGTTTGATGGCACAACATGTGACTGGCATGATTTTGTGCTTGTGTCCATCAGTGAGCTCTAGCCTCGTTTGTGGAGATGGGAATGCTTATATGCTTCCTGGGGAAGTAGATATGATTTTAGGTTAGTTTTAGGTCTTTCCCCATTTCTACATGGACAATTCAGATAAAGTTTGTGCTGGTTTCAAGACTTACAGTTCAGCAAAGGTGAGTCAGCTTCCCTTATTATTTTTGCAACTGTGTATATTTATCCTATTTCTACTGAAAACAAAATAAGCAAGGCTGTATAAAAGCTGGAATGTTCTCTTTGAGTTAGATATTTAAAAGCTGTCTAAATCTGGGCATGATGCTATACCTACAACTGTTAAGGCAACCATGGGCTACCATAATGAGACCCTGTTTCAAATAACACAAGACAAACTAATAAACCTCTTGTAGACAGAGTTTGTGAACAATGTGGAGGTAGTAGTAATTGTTTCATCTAAGAAGAACTTTGGGGTTATTTGGTTTCCTATTGTAGAACCCTTGCTAGAAATAGTCTCTTGCTTGTGCTTAGTTGATACTTAGTTACTCAACCTTGATTCTTTGCTGTTATTTTATATATTGTTTTGTGCAGAAGAGGAAGCTGAAATTCTGGGGAAGGAGTAATGGCAGGTGAGTGGCACAAACTCTGAAGAATGTGGCAGTTTGAAGGAGGCTTTGCAGCCACTCCTGTGGACCAGTCTCAGAGCTATGGCTCATGTCACATGCATCTATTTTCCCTAAGCTCGTGTTCACTCTTGTTTTCAGGAAAGTGGGAGTGTCCTTGGCACCAGTGTGACGTGTGTGGGAAGGAAGCAGCCTCCTTCTGTGAGATGTGCCCCAGCTCCTTTTGCAAGCAGCATCGGGAAGGAATGCTTTTCATTTCCAAGCTCGATGGGCGTCTGTCTTGTACTGAACATGACCCCTGTGGGCCAAACCCTCTGGAGCCAGGGGAGATCCGTGAGTATGTGCCTCCCCCAGTGCCACTGCCTCCAAGCCCCAGCACCCAGCTGACCGAGCAGTCCTCTGGGAGGGCTCCTCAGGGGCCCAAGATGTCTGATCAGCCACCTACTGATGCCACTCAGATGCTGCCAGTATCCAAGAAAGCCCTGACAGGGACTTGTCAGAGACCACTGCCACCTGAAAAACCTGAGAGAACTGAGTCTAGTTCCCACCTGTTAGACAGGGGCAGAGACGTTGCTGGATCAGGGACCAAATCCCAGTCCTTGGTATCCAGCCAGAGGCCACAGGACAGGCCACCTGCTAAAGAAGGACCAAGACCTCAGCCATCTGATAAATCCTCTCCAGTGACCAAGCCCAGCTCCTCATCCTCAGTCAGGCCCCTGCCACTGGAAAGACCTCTGGGAATGATTGACCCAAGGCTGGATAAATCCATAGGTGCTGCCAGCCCAAAGTCCCAGTCAGTGGAGAAAACACCAGCCCTCACTGGCCTGAGACTTTCACCACCAGACAGACTGCTGACCACCAGCAGTCCCAAATCCCAGGTTTCTGACAGGCCCCCAGACAAATCCCATGCCTCTCTGACCCAGAGACTTCCACCTCCTGAGAAAGTACTATCAGCTGTGGTCCAGTCTCTGGTAGCTAAAGAAAAAGCACTCAGGCCTGTGGACCAGAATACTCAGTCAAAGCACAGAGCCGCTCTAGTGATGGACCGCATGGATCTGACTCCTCGCCAGAAGGAGCGGGCTGCTTCTCCTCATGATGTCACACCACAGGCTGATGAGAAGATGCCAGTGCTGGAGTCAAGCTCATGGCCATCTAGCAAAGGTCTGGGGCATATGCCACGAGCTGTGGAGAAAGGCAGCGTGTCAGATTCCCTCCAGCCAGCTGGGAAAGCAGCATCTCCTTCAGAACACCCTTGGCAAGCTGTTAAATCACTCACCCAGGCCAGACTTCTTTCTCCACCTTCTGCCAAGGCTTTTTTATATGAATCAGCAACTCAAGCCTCAGGAAGAGCTCCTGTGGGAGCTGAGCAGACCCTGGGACCTCCCAACCCAGCACCGGGCCTGGTTAAACAGGTGAAGCAGCTATCTAGAGGACTTACTGCCAAGAGTGGGCAGTCCTTCAGGTCTCTTGGGAAGATTCCAGCTTCTCTCCCCAATGAAGAAAAGAAGTTGGCAACCACAGAACAGAGTCCCTGGGGCCTTGGGAAAGCCTCGCCAGGGGCAGGGCTTTGGCCCATAGTGGCTGGACAAACACTAGCCCAGGCTTGCTGGTCTGCTGGGGGCACACAGACATTGGCACAAACTTGCTGGTCCCTTGGAAGAGGGCAAGACCCCAAACCAGAGCAAAATACAATTCAAGCTTTTAACCAGGCTCCTTCTAGTCGCAAATGTGGAGAGTCAGAAAAGAAATAATACAGTAAATAACACATAACCAGGCAAGCTGTCCCCAGGGTACCGTTTTAGGGAGGCAAATCTCCCTTTCTTTTTCCTTCTTGAAAACCAGACATATTCCCAACACTTTCTCTGTTCTTTCCTTACCCCCAACACTCAGAACTCTCGTGACGTTAGCCCATGGGGACTTGTGGTTGTGTGAACCATGTATGGAAATTCGTCGGGCCCTAGTCAAGGAGACAGACAGACTGAGTCTCTTTGCCCTAACTTTTACATATGGTCAACTTAAAATAAAAAGTCCACTCTGGAATCAAGCATGGAATTCAATTCCACTGGTCAAGTTGGAAAGTATATGGGCTCTCAAGCTGTTTCCCTGGCCCTGCAGTGCCCCATTGAGAACACCTGATAAACCTTTAGGAGGATCTGATGTTCATTCAGATCACTGGCAGTTTCCTGAGTATTGATGTGTGCTAGATCAGGAGGCTAGTCATTTGTGTAAAACAGAATTACATAAAGCCTGATCCCAATGAGCTTAACCTGCCTGCCTGGGTTCCCAGGCAGATTTCAAGGACCTGTGACCAGGGAACAACGTAGAGTGCACTGGTAGGCCATGAGTTTCCAGGTTCGTTCTCTAGTGGGTGTGGGTATGTATGTGCGCGTGTGGCCCAGAATGTGTGCATGCATGTGTTTGCCTGCGAAGCTCTTCTCTATAGATGGAAGGGTGCTACATCAAGGCCAAGGTGAGCTATTGGCTGGGGCAGCTGCTGCAATCTCTCTGTATTGCAGTCTGAAAATTTGTCCTTGGAGGAGTGTCTGGTTAGAGGGAGCTGGTCTCTGAGAATGTAGTATCCCAGAAGTGGACAAGGGCAATTGGCAAGCTTACCTTTTTTTTTTTTCTACCAATAATTCTTTTACCAGAACCTACCCACTCTGCATTTCCTCAAACACTCAGGTGCTTTCAGATTTCAGTCTTGGGCAGTGGGCATAGGGAATTTCTGGCAAGCTCCTAGCAAGACACACCACCTTCAAGAATCATGTCAGATCCCAGTGGAAATTTTCTCCTGGTCTCATGCTCTCCTACCTGAAGGGAGGGAACCCTCTCCACCCCTGTGAATGGCTGTGCTTTCTGTTAGAGAACATATGCCTGGTAACTTAAGCTTAATGCAAGCCAGAGCCCTTCCCCAAGACTGGAGAAATGTGTTTGGAGCAATGTCCAATATAAGAGATGACTCCTCATAACTGCTGATTATCTGTTACTGCTGCCCTGAGCTGGGGCCCAAGGGCTGGGAATCTGTTGGTGCTACCCTGCCCTACCGTTCCCCAGCTCATAAACTGCCAACAGGAAGTGCTGTTTGGCTAGTTCTATCACACCCACCTGCCCTTTGGCCTCAGACCATGTGTTCGTTTACCTGTCTGCTTTGCCAACTTAGTGTCTTTAGCCAACAAATGGCATTTCCTTGCCCAGTATATCTGGCCTTTCTGTCTCAGTTACTGCTTTTACACCCTCAACAGGGCTCTGTTTTGCCCTAGTTTCCTCCTCCCTAAATCCCTGTTGAGGTTGGCTCTCATCACTTCTCCAGAGTTAAGAACAGTGGTGGTTACAGAAGTGTCTGTGCTTCATATAAAAATTGAGAGTAGTATCTGCTTTTATTTTCCCCAAATCTGTCTCAGGCTGAGGGATGAGACTAGAACAGGACTGTCCCAAGTTTGGGGCTAATCCCTGTGCTTCACCGAGGCTTCAGAATCACACCCGCCCAGTTCTCCCCTTCCCACATCATCAGAGTGAAAAACTCTGTATTCAAAAGGAAGAGAAAACAGAAAGCATCTTATTTTCTTTTAAAAAATTTTTAAACCATGAAGAAAATATTTTTAAAGAAATTCACCCAGGACATTAAAGTTCACGATATTACGTATTTATCATGTGTGAGAATATAAGTATATAACTGCAGCTAGTAGGCCCCTTCCCTGACTTCTTAGGTTGTGAGTAGGTTTGCTTGGTGCCAGTCCTGTGCCCTTTGCTCTCCTGTCACCTGTAGTTGTGTGATCAGAAGAAGATACCTGCACTGCACTGTCAAGAGTCTCCTTTCACTGTTGTGTGTTTGATTACCGTAGCTCTGTTTCATGAAATAAACTGTGAACTGGGGGTGGGGGGGTGCAGGCTATGTAAAATTTTTAAAGTGGAGAAGTTTGGTCTTGACATAGCTTCTCTAAAATAGGTTTCAGTGGGTAATTGGCTTTGACAGCTGTCTAGAAATGTCTCACAGGACAGGAGGGAGGGGTGGAGGTCACGGTTGGCCAAGTGTGTTTTGCTTTGATACTTCTGTGCACCACCATTCTTTGGAGCCTTCCTTCCAGACCTGCTGGGGAAACATCTTCCGAGCTGTGTACTTGTGGGGTGGAGGGTTGGGAGCATTGGTGAGGAGCAGTCCTTCTAATGATAGGCACATCCTGTCCGGTGCCACTGTGGCTATTGAGTGGATACCCAAGACAGCAGCATGAGAATAGTGTTAAAACTGGCAGTGGTTACTGTCCGTTAGTGACATGAGTGTGACAGGGAAAGAGGGTGACCTTGCAGTTCTTCCTAACTGCTTTTGAATACCATAATAGCCCTTTCTCTGAGGGTGTAAACTGACAGCAGAGAGAATCTTATTAGAAACTCCTGACTATTGAGCAGGTGGTATTTTGGCATTGGCATTTGGCTGGGTATTTGAAATTTGAATGGCCAGAGAGTCTGCCTGTGAGACAGCACCCAGGAAGTACTTTTCAGGGACATGCCAAAGGCAGAAGTGCTTCTAGGTAGTGACTAAAACTTCTCTTTTCAGTTAGGTGAAAATATAAGGGAATTGGAGCTAGCCCATTTTAATAAAAGATAACCATCATTTACATATGCCCCAAAAAAGTATTTTTAGATATCTGCTTCCCTAAAATCTCTGAGTTTGAAATTATTTAATTCACTGTTAATTTTTTAAAACTGATCCTGCATCTTTGGTATTCATACCCTCCACCCCACACTACAGTCTGGGCTTGAAGTGCAGTAATGAGCCTCCATGGCTCTGCACTGTCGGGTCACTGAAGCGGGACTTGCAGGTTATATTTCAGTGTTGTTCCAGAACTGACAGGAAGGATGTCTAGGTTGTCCATGCTGGGCAGTCAGGAGAGTGAGCATTCAGTTACATGGGTCTTGACCCTGGCTCCAAAAAATTGTTTCTAAAATTTGTCGGGATATTGTCATCCTCTTGGGGATGTTGTCATTGGATGAAAAGAGGCCCAATTAACAGGAATTTCCTGTTAAACATCCCAAGTCATTTAGACCTAGGTAGCTACTGCAGGAGCTTGGATTGCCTGTGACCAGTTTGCTCTCAGTTGAGCTTCCTAGGTCAGTGCAGAAGTTCCTGTGTAAATTGAAATACAAATAATTGCTTTGTACACAAAACAATGTAATGATGGTGCTAATCTCATGGCATAAATAAGCACTGCCAAGGCTTGAGGGAGTGGTGACATGAGAAACTCGGGTTCCCATTTGGGAAGATAATGTATATAGGTTCCTTTCAGCTCTGTGAGAGATAGGTGGCAGGCAGAGCATCATTGAGGCCTGCCGACCCAACCCTGGAGTGTTTCAGTACAATCCAGAGGTGAAAGAGATGATCCCATATCCAGATGACGGCCACTGAGTTTCTCAGGGCTAGGGCCACCTTGTTCATAGCCTTTGTCCCACCCTGCCTAGGACAGTTAGAAGAGAACTATGGGTATGGCTGTCTTTTATCTCCTGCTTCTCTACCTCTCCCCTCTCATGGCAGCATCTCAGTTGCTTATGAACAAGGTCAGTGTTCCTTAAAAAAGATGGAAGAGCTTATTTAGACAACTTCAACCTCAAAAGAGATGTTTCCTTAACCAACAGAAACAAGACATACTAAACTCTTTTGTGGTACTTTCCCTAGAGCAGCCTTCCTGTGACTATGAGGGGCTCCAGGAGCTCAGCACAGCTGACAGAGGCAGACCAGACACAGGGAGCAGAGCAGAAGCCAAGGGTCCTGGTGGTGTTTTCTGGGATGAACAGTGGGTGGGCTCCAGGTTGTGGTGTTGCCACCTTATGTATGTAGGAGAGTGTGGAAGTCGGGTGAGTGCAGCACCTAGGAGCTATGGGAAAGTAGCCTTTTAGGTCTTGGCGAAGAAGGCTGACTAGAAAGCTTTATTTTTTAGATGGGGAAAGGTGTTCAGCCAAGGTTCATCACCGTGTTCTCTCCCCTCCCAACAGACTGTCAGCTGGAAGTGAACCTCCTAGTGAAAGAGGGGAACCTGTGCTAGGGGTCCCCATAAACATGTACTGTAATTCTTTGTATATAGAAAAAATTACTGTAAAGTAAAGTTTAACTTTACTCTTATGGCCCTTGCCCTGTGTTTTTATTGTCTCTGGGGACATTAGCTTAAGACACAGGACTGACTGGTTTGGGGTAAGAGCAGGAGCCAACCTGAGCCCTTGAAGTACTTGAAGGTCAGCACGGTTTCCTCACCGGTGCTGCTGGCTGCCTAAGCATCCTTCCTTAGTATTGGGAATGGCTGGTGTTAGTTTCAGTCTCCTTTGCAGGAACCCTCTACCATTCAAGTGGTTCTTGTTTGGGGGGTTGTTTGTTTTTTGTATTTTTCAAGATAGGGGTTTCTCTGTGTGGTAACGCAAGCTGCAGACCAGGCTGGCCTCAAACTCAGAGACCTGCCTGCTGAGGGCTGGGGTTAAAGGCAAGTGCTGCCACCACCACCCTCAAGGGTATTTTTGAGGTATTATTTTTAAAGAGAAATGAAACCAATGCATTGTGAGTTTTTGGGTTTTGTTTGTTGTTTTTGTTTTGTTTTTTTTTTTTTTTTGAGCCAAAGTCTCACTGTGCAATCCAGGTTAACCTCAACCCCAGTTGCTTACATGACAGAAACACACTATTATACCTGGTGTCAAAAGCCGCCTGGGCAGGAATGGGACCAGGTTGGTAATTCTGAAATCTTCAAAGGCAATTTCTTTGACTGACGCCTAAATAGGACAGCAGAGGCAAAGGGGCCCCTGGCTGGGGCCACACCCTAACCCTAACAACTGAAAAGGGCTGCAGTACACTTCCTCCTATTTAAACAGGAAGCGCCTGCCCATTTTACTTTGACATCTAGCTTTTCAGTGTATTTCTGATCCCGAACAGATAGGCTCTTGTCTCAGCTTTCTTTTTCTCATATTTATTTACTTAGGGTTTTTGGGTGGGAGTAGGAATTTCATTATATAGTTGTGGTGGCCTGGTACTCAAGAGACTTGCCTGCCTCCGCCTCCTGGAGTACTGGGATTAAAGGCGTGCGCCACCATGCCTTCAAGTCCCCTTTTTTTTATGATGTGTGTGTGGAGCATGCTGACCTCACACTCACAGAGATCCACCTGACTGCCTCCCTAGTGCTGGGATTAAAGGTGAGTGCCACCACCACCTGGTTTCAAGTCCCTTTTCTACACTAGAAGCCATCTTATCCATAAGGCCTTGACTTGCAGAACTATGGACTGCCTCTTGTTAAATACACTACAGAGTGTTCCAGGGAAGCTGAGGGCTGACTCAACCTGAGCCACAGGTCTAGACATGACCCAAGAGGTTGAGCTGGCCAAACCACCTTGTCTTGAGGTTGCTAATGGCCGAGCCTTTTCATCTGTGAGCACAACTTATGTGTTTCCTTGTATCATTCAGTGGTTAAGATTCCTGCCAGTATGTTAGAAGACCTGGGAGTTTGCTCTCCATGCACGCATACATGCACGCACTGTAAGAGCCCATGGCTTCCCCATGATTTCAGTGACAGTAACTTGGTTTCCAAATGGTCCATCTTAAAGGAAGTGAGGCCAGGCAGGTGGCCCCAGGAACAACCAGATGTTTTTTGACACCCAGTGCACACAGCAGGAAAGGAGCTGTGGGTCACAGTGCATCAATTTTATTTACAGTTCAGAAGCTACTTAAATAGTCTGTGACAGGTTCTGTCCAGGGTAGACGCCTGGGGTTCAAATCCGCCCTTCTCCCTCTTCATGCCCACAGTCTGCCCAGTACTGCCTCCGTTCCACTGGCCAGCACAGGCAGGTGCCCCTCTGCTGCCATGGGCACCTGGAGTAGCTCACACACTTGACCACGCCAGCCCAGACAAGAGTTGGGTCCAGCCCATCTGGGGATTCATGTAATTCTCCCAGGCCAGACGAGTTGTGACTCAGTGATGACAACAGCTGTAGAAGTAAGGGTTTGCCTTCTGGCCCAGGTCCACACCTTTGTCCTCTGTCAACGAGAGGTGGCTGCTCAGTGCCATCATGGCGGGTGAACAGGTAAGTCCCCACGGGGCTAGAGACCATGAGCCTAGAGGGATCTTAAAGGGTAGGAGGTACACACCTGTCATCACCTGGAAAGCAGCCACACTGACGTAATCCTCTGCCACTTTCTGGAAGAGCTCGTCTGGCAAGCAAAGGATCAGTGAGGTCCTGGTGCCAGCAGCCCTGGGAGCCCCGAGTGACCCAGCCCTCTGAACTTCTTTCCTCCCGTGTCCTGCCTGCTCCTGCTGCAGGCCCCAAGGCAACACTCACCCACACTCTGGCCTGTCTTGCTGGAGGTTTCAAAGAGCTGGGCTTTGATATCTGCAAAGAGAGGTGACTAAGTCTTCATACCTGAAGATCAGACCTAAATGTAGCTAACAGTTCAGTGTCCTGGATCCCATAGGTTCAAGGACAGAGAGCAGCCAAGGCTGTCAGCCTTCTGTCCCTGTGATCCACTCAAGCAGGTATTACCCACCCCGCCCCCCACCCTCAGAGATGTTAGAAGCAGCTACTATCTGCATAGTCCTGGACATCATGGAAGTCTACACGACGGCGCCGCCTGTCTTCCTCCAGCAGGTCACTTTTAGTGCCACACAGGTAGATCTGACAGCCCTACAGCAGGAGACAAGGCTGAGGTTGTCCGCACAGACCGGGGGATCCCTGTTGCTGATTTGTAAGATCTGGCCACCTACCTCCTCTAAACTGCGCAGCTCCTTCACCCAGAACTTGGCTCTCTCAAAGCTGCTGCTGTCAGTGAGGTCTTGGTAGGGGTCAGGCAGGAGACACAACCAACAATCAGTGGTTTCCCCAGGATGCCGGCCTGTAACCCAACCCTTACTTGAACAGGCCAGAATCTAACCCCTTACCATAACAGACAATGGCAGCTTTCGCACCCCGGTAATATATTCTGCTCATGGCTTCGTAGCGCTCAGATCCTGCAGTGTCCTGGCGGGTGAAAGGAGTTAATGAGCTCCTTTCATAAGACTATGAACTAGGTCCGTGTCTTCCAGACCCCAGCTTTTTAAGCTAATGGGTGTGGGTAAGGAAAAACGACCTCTGTGATGCTCCACTTGGCTAGTTTAAGGTAAGACATTAAGCCTCGGGCATTGTTTTGCTCAAGACTATATCCCCAAGGGACTTACCCAAATACCCAGAGTCACCGTCCGGTCTCCAACGCACATCACCTTGGCCACGAAGGCAGCCCCGATGGTCTGCAACCAGGGAAGACATAAGAGTGGAATGCAGGCCGGTCCCCTTCTTCCCAAGCCTGGTCCGGAGGGGTTCACTCACGTTCTGATAGGGGCCCACCAAGAAGCGGTCGTGCACGTATCGCTCCACCAGGCTCGTCTTGCCCACGTATTCCTTGCCCAGCATAACCACCTTGACGTCCACGCGCTGCCCGCTCATGCTCCCGGGGCAGCCTCACCGGGTCAGGGTCCGCGAGGCCCAGGCAGAGCCCAAGCCTCAGACCCTAACCCCAAGGGCCGCGCACCTCACAGGCCCCCGGCGCCTCGGCTCGGGGCGCTCCGTCCTTCGCAGAGCCGCGGCGCGGGGACGCGGACAGCGCCCTCCACCGCGCCGCAGGGCCCTGGGCTGCTCACCCGTGCGATCGCCGCTGCCACTGAGGCTCGGCGCCGCCGGGGTTACCGACTGAAACGGGGGTCCCTGCCGCTAACTCCAACCCGCACCTCCGGCACTGGACAGCAGGAGGCGGGACTTCTGGTCACGTGACGCGAGTGCCGGAAGTGGCCGGTCCTCCCCGGCCGGCGCCGGAAGCGTCGCCCAGTCCTATAGTTCCCTCATGGCGGCGGTAGGGACCTGGGCGCGGCGCGGCAGTGACTGAGCTGCGAGCCTGGCGGGCGTGCGCCGAGCCACGTGCCCCCCAACCCCGGGCTCTTCACCCTGATGCTGCATGGGTGCTGAGCCCGCCCGGGTCGGGACGATGGTGAAGTATTTCCTGGGCCAGAGCGTGCTCCGAAGTTCCTGGGACCAAGTGTTCGCTGCCTTCTGGCAACGGTACCCGAATCCCTATAGGTACGTGGCGGTGGGTAGAGCGCGCAGCCGGAGGCCGGAGCGTTGGCTGTCCTAGCGTGTTAGGGCCAGCAAAGACTGGACGGCGAATCCGACGTGGGGTATCTCTGGAACGGTGGCCACAGTTAGGGCACAACGTCCTTATTAAGACTGGGACCAGCCCGCAAGGTCCTCGAAGAAGACCGTCCAGGTTGTGAGTTACATGAGGCTCTGGATTTCTGTTTTGTGGTCTCTCAAGGGTGAGGCCGGAAGAGGCGGCGGCACGGGAGTTGAGAAACCCTGGAGAGGGCCTGCTCACCTGCCCGTGGCGGGCGCTCTCTAGCGGTACAGACCTTGAGATTGGAAAGCCTCAGAAACCAGGTCAGGGAGGAGGAGGGATTTGGAATTTGCCCGGGGATAGGTTCAGAATACTCTTAACTGTGAACCCGGGCACAGAGCACTCTGTATTGCAGGAAGCCATGACCTGGAGGCTCCAAATGGGAACGCGTGGACGGTTGATCAGGAGCAGACCTCTGAGAATCATCTCTATTGTCACACCTGCAGCAAACATGTCTTAACCGAAGACATCGTGCACCGGGAGGTGACCCCTGACCAGAAGCTTCTGTCCCGGAGACTCCTGACCAAGACCAACAGGATGCCACGTTGGGCAGAGCGACTGTTTCCTGCCAACGTTGCCCACTCGGTATACATCCTGGAGGACTCGATTGTGGACCCACAGAATCAGACCATGACCACCTTCACCTGGAACATCAACCACGCCCGGCTGATGGTGAGACCTCCTTTGGTCCCTCAAAATGGTTGCCTTTCAGATAGCAGGCAGGAGACTCTCGGGAACTACTGTGGCCAAAAGCAAGTTTAGAACGCTGATGAGCAGCGTAGAGTCACACCCTCACGTTGCCCCCCTTTCGGCCAGCCGGCCTCTCTGGGCCTGTCCCTTGGCTCTCGGATGATGGGGGAAACGCCTCTTTTCAGAACTTGTTTCAAGGGCTGTGCACAAAACACTGGGTGTGTGTGACATACATACACACAGGGTGGGCTTTCAGGAAAGACGCTGGGGGAATGGTATACTTACGACTACTATCTTTGTGTTCTTCAGGAAGTTGCCACTCACTTTGAAAATGAAAGCTGGGATTATTATCAGATGGTTGTGTGTGGTGTGTGTGTTATCAGGGAGCTCAGAGGGGGAGAGTTTGGATGGCAGGCTAGAAACACTTGCATGTCTAGATCCATAAGCCCCAAGCAGAGCCCAAGATCAGGCTGGAATGCTGGCTGATCCCAAGAGACCACATACTACTTCTAAGGGTTCAGCAAGGAGGTTGAAGAGGCAGAATGGCTTCTCTTTGAGCCTGGGGATATATGAAGAATTTTCTTTTCAGCTGGGCGTTGGTGGTGCATTACTTTAATCCCAGCACTCGGGAGGCAGAGGCAGGCGGATCTCTGTGAGTTCGAGGCCAACCTGGTCTACAGAGCGAGTTCCAGGACAGCCTCCAAAGCCACAGAGAAACCCTGTCTCAGAAAACAAAACTTTCTTTTTTCTTTTTATTGCTTTCCCCTTGTGAACAAGGCGAAGACGCACCCAGTGTTGGGTGCAGGAATGCGGTGCTGGCTTGAGCAGCACAGTAGAGCCAGGGTGAAGTCTGTGTCAGTGAGCAAAGCAAAAGACACTCCTACAGGGTGACTGCCTGATTTCCTGTGCAGGTGGTGGAGGAACGCTGTGTTTACTGTGTGAACTCTGACAACAGCGGCTGGACCGAAATCCGACGGGAAGCCTGGGTCTCCTCTAGCTTATTTGGTGTCTCTAGAGCTGTCCAGGTGAGAGGTTTGGGAGCTGGGCCGGGCTGGGCTCTGGGTCATTGAGCATTTCTCCCATGCTTCTCTCTGTCTCTCTCCTGCCAGGAATTTGGTCTTGCCCGGTTCAAAAGCAATGTGACCAAGACGATGAAGGGCTTTGAGTACATCTTGGCCAAGCTACAAGGTGAGCGCCCTGGACACTGCTTGGGGAACTAATGGACCCTCGATAGCTGTGGCTAGGGTGACTCTACCTCAACTTGACCAGTCATTGCCCTGTCAGAGCCTCAGGCCCTTGTTTGTGTGTGCCTGGAAGGGTGGGAGGGTCAGGAAACAGGACAGTGACTCCGTTCATCAGAAGCCTGGCCCATAAACTAGTGACTGCCATGTTTGACCCGGGATTGGGTGGGTCTTCTCGGCATCATCTGAAGCCAGCCTCCTGTCATTTGCCACAGGTGAGGCTCCTTCCAAAACACTTGTTGAGACAGCCAAAGAGGCCAAAGAAAAAGCAAAGGAGACAGCGCTGGCAGCTACAGAGAAGGCCAAGGACCTGGCCAACAAGGCCGCCACCAAGCAGCAGCAGCAGCAGCTTGTGTAACCTCCCTTCTCATTGTACTGTTATTAAAGTCCACCTCCAGCCCTCTCTGCTGTCTGGTGGGTCAGGGTCCGCATCTGCAGTACCCCTGCTCAGTGGCTTCCAGCCCAGCCTCCTCTTACCGTTGGGCAGAAAGGTGCGGTGACTTGCCCAGGTCACAAGCAGTATGCAGGGGGAGTGGTGATACGTGATAGACTGTACGCCCCTTGGGGGCAGGGCTTCTTGTTTTATTCCCTGCTGTGTCCCGGGTACCCTGAACAATATTTAGCACATAACAGGCACTCAATAAACAGTTATTTGATTGGTCCCAGTTCTGGAGTCAGGTAGCTTTGGTTTGGATTTGGACCTCAGCTAGTCATCTCTCTGCCTGACCACCACAAACAAAGCATCCTCCACACTGCCTTAGACCATGTTTGGCAGCTGCTGCGGCTGGGACTTCCTCCTCCTCATCAGGCAAAACCACAGGACGGGAACTTACAAAAGAGGATTTTAATGAAAATACTGTGCGGTATGTATGGGCAGAGGCCTGGGGCTTTGCCCAGGAACAAAAGGTCTACAGGCTCCTGTCCCCATGGGGGGCAGCAGAGCTGAGTCAAGGGCTACAGAAACTGCCCTGGGGGCATTGGGGGGTGGTACGGGCTCAAGCTGTGCTGCAGAGCACACAGAGTCCTGTTTCCACACAAAGATTTCATGGCCTCCTCCCAGTCTCCAACAAGTGTCTCTAAGCAGACCTTGGGGCTTGTGTGGTGCTCCTGCCTGGCAGGCTCAGTCCAAAGAGAAAAGGATGCCACGGGCAGTGAGTGTCATAGCCAGGTACTGGGGCTCTGTGAGTAGCCAAGCCCCTGGCTCGAGCTGAATCTCGGGAGCAGGTCAGTCTCAGTCCCGAACACCAGGCTCTCCACATCCACCTCCACATCCTCTGCAGAGAGAGAGAGAGACAGAGAGAGAGAAGCCTGCCCATTAGGGGCCCCGCCCACCCGCATGCCCACAACCCAGCCCTACCCCCTTCGGGACACTCACCTTGGTCTGAGTCTGAGCGCTCAGAGGACAGAACGGAAGAGTCCAGGCTATCAGCTCGTGGCCGGTCCCGCTCTCCAGCTCCGGGCAGCCCCTGGAGCTGCTCCAACTGCTGCTGCAGGCTTTGCTGTTCACTGCGAAGCTTCTCCTTGAGCCGCTGGGCCTGCTGCTCCTGCTCCTCCAGCTTCTGCAGAACCCCCAGGAGCAGGGACTGGGGTCAGCTGCCCAGGGCCTGGCCTTTCTGTGGCCACAGAGCCTTTGTCTATGCCAGACAGGCAACCACACAAACCGACCCAAGGTGGTTTCACATCCTCCAGGAGCTGCCCTTCTGTATACAAAGATCTGTCTAGGTGGCTGTGCATGGCAGGGTACCCCGATCTCAAATGCCTCTAGAGCCTACTCACATATTAGGGTAGAATATAATGTCAGTACAAACTTGGAGACAGGGGCGGAGAAGCTGTAGCATCCTGACAGACAGCTGGCTAAAAGACATGCCACTCCTCAGTGGTAGCCCGTGCTGAACATGGTCACAGACCAGCACTGTCCGATCTCTCCATATAAAAGGTGAGAAGCCACATTTTTTCATGTCAAGTGTTCTTTGAAGTGTGGCCAACTAATTTAAATTGTCGGACTACAGGCGAGAGGCTACTAGTTCACTGGGCAAGCAGCGCCGTGCTAAGGTGCGTGCCCAGTGCATGCAAGGCCCTCCCATACAAATGGCAAGAAGAGGAGAATAAGTCAGAACACTCAAGACAAGATGCAGAAGGATGAGTCCACTTAGACTAAGATGTGTGGCTGGGTTACCACGGGGTAGGGGGACCCTGAGAAGCTCTGAGTCCAGCTTTGTGGTAAGCAGGAAGAGAAGCCTGAAAAGGCTGTCATGGGGCTGTGTGGAGCCCAGGAAAGCAAGGCCTGCATCAGGGAGAGGCTTGAGTTTCATAGGAAGTAGGTGCCGAGGCTGGCTGTATCCTGTCAGGGTTTCCAGCTGGAGATGGACATCGGAGACAGATCTACGTGCAGAGTAGGAAGCAGCCTGGTTGGCGCCAAGCCAGAAGGCAAGCAGCCCGGGTCTTGCCATCCAACACCTGAGTAACACATTTCATCTACCTGAAAGTGAGGTCAGAGGATCTCCGTGGGAGAAGAGAGAGCCTATGTGACAACCAGAACAATGAAGGGGACCGCATGCACCTATGTGACCGTCCAAATATGCCCCACGGTCACAATTTATCTGCTGGCAGCAGACTGCCCTGGCCGTTGACCAGAGTGCTGAGAAGGTAGGACAGGCATGACCCTCTTGGTGCTGTCTGCCGCCTGCTGTGCCTCCTCTCATCAAACGGGCCCGGAAGGCAGGGAAAATCCTCTTGTTTCAAAGGCAGCTTCTAAAATGCCCACATAGCTGGCACAGCCTAGGCCTTGGCATCTGCAATACCCACTCCTGTCCGCCAGAGGGCCTGCAATCCCACCCAAGCAGTGGCAAGGCCACGTCTGACCAGCTAATCTTTTTCCTCCGGCCTCCAGCCATCAGAACCCAAACCCAGTAAGCCCCGAAGGCTGTGAGGAAAAAGTACCAGCACATGCCTTTAATCCCAGCACTCGGGAGGCAGAGGCAGGCGGATCTCTGTGAGTTCGAGGCCAGCCTGGTCTACAGAGTGAGTTCCAGGACAGCCTCCAAAACAATACAGAGAAACCCTGTCTCAAAAACAAAAAACAACAACAACAAAAAAGTACCAGCCCTCTACAGGCGACCGAATCACATGGCTATCAAGAGTATTTTCAACAGCCTTGTACTCTGCAGAGCTGAACAGGAAACACTTGTGGAAGGTCTCACAGCTAGGACCTAAGTAATACCATAACAAAAGGGACGTTTACAAGCGCCCCAGCTGTCTGCCCTCCTTCCCACTGGATAGACTCGGAAACAATTGTCTCGTGTCACACAGGATGGGGCAGGCCCTCCACACCGCTCCATCCCACGGTCTAATAAGCGCACTGGACACAGACGGCACCGTACCTGGATGTGCATCCTGGCCCGGCGCAGCAGGCTCAGCGTGGTGTATCGGGTACAGTCAACCCCCAGGGGCATCTGCTGCCTCAGCTGCTCCAGGCACCGCTTCAGCTGCGCCCTCCTGCAAGGAAAGGCGTCTGGAGGGCAGTGCCAGCCCCACCTCACCAGCCAGAGGGACGGATGGTCTGAGAGAAATGGTCCTTGGGACCTGGTACCGCCGGGCCAGGTTGGAACTCACCTGCGTTTTTCCAGTTCGTTGTGCGCAGACCTGCAATGCCAGAAAGAGGTGAAGTGAGGAACGGTTATCATGTTCACACCCACGGTCCCAGGCCACTGGGTGGCTCAGAACTCACTACAGATATCTGTGCCAAGGAAGCCTTTTGTAAGGGCCCGGGTTCACCTAGGGCACCAAAACCCCAGGCAGTGAGTGACAAGAGAAATCAGAGGCACATACACCAGAAGATACAGGACACCGGACAGCCAGGCTAGACAGGGTTCCTGGACAGATGCGACACTGCATCCAGAAACAAGTCTGCCAGAGGGGCCAGCAGAGGGTAAACATTTAAAAGGAACTGCACATGCCAAAGGTCAGAAAAGCAGAAGCCTGGAGGGCAGAGAGTTCAGGAGTGTGAGTGGACGGGGGACTCAGAACTGTCTTACTACAGTTCCGGGCGCATCAAAGGTGCGCTACGAGTCCGTGAGTGCACACACGCGCGCAGACACACACAGACACGCACGCACGCACGCACACACACACACACACACATACGTTTGGAGAGACAGCATCTGCAGTAGTGTAATTTGCAGTAGTGTACCTGGACCAGAAAAGCAAACGAGGAAGTGAGAAGAGGGTTGGATGGGACAGTTGAGGACTAGCGCCCCTCCCCACACTGCCCCACCCCTGCTCACCGCCCACTGTTCAGCGCGCCAGGAGCTTGCAGGGGTCGCTTCCTCCTCCTGTAGACAGCCCTGGGGCTGTAGTGGGGACACAAGGACGCGTAGCCGTGCTCCGCCTCTGCCAGAGAGAGGACCCAGCCCGTCAGCCGGAGCCCCTGGCACGGCGTGATCAAGAGAAGGCTTTTGGCGCCAGGACCCTTTCCCCAATCACTCCCTGCCCTGCGAACTCCGGTGGATGTGCGGGCGGCAGCGCATCAGCAGCCCTCTGTCCAACTTGGGAGCCAAATCCAGCCCGCGCGGGGTCTGTCCTCACCTCTCTCGCGCCTCTCCAGGAACTCCGCCGCCTGCAGCAGGACCTGGATGTTGCTGGCCACGGGTTCCATGTCGGCGACAGTCGGTGGCAAGCGGGCCGGGGATGCTAGCCCTGGCAGCCGCCGAACCACTTTTGTTTCAATGTAACTGACACGGTGCCACAAACACAGGGCCCGCCCCGCCCCCTTCCGCCCCGCCCCGGCCCCGCCCCTGGGAACCGCGGCCGCCCCGCCCTGCCCCGCCCGCCCCGCCTCTTCCCTCCCAGTCTATCCCGGTCCGCGGCTCCCTCGCCTGGTGACAAGCGCTCGGCCGGGCCGGACAGCCTGGACACCGGGCGCTGCGAGCTGCCCACACTCCTGCCACCCGCAGTCGCGCGGGCCTGGGTTGCACGTGCGCGCGGGCGCGGCCACATCCTCGGGGCGGGGTCGCGAGCCGCTGACACAGGGTTGGCTGGCGCGCGGCCCCGCCCTCTCCCGCCGCGGGGCCCCGGTCGGGCGGGAAAAGCCGCAGGTTTCAAATTTGAAAACCCGGACGGTGAGGGCGGGGGCGAGCGGAGAGGGACGGCGATGCGCAGGCGCCTGCGGAGGGGCGCGGGTGCAGGACACGGTGCGGTCCGTCCCGCATCTGTCCCTCGTGGGGCCTCGCGGGGCCTCAGCGTTCACCGTTGGGTCGAATGAGAATCTCTCCTGTCTCTCCCGTCATTTGCAGGGAAGCTAATGTCATCGAGGGGACGTCGGTAGGTAACAGCTTCCCAACCGGCCACGAAGCACACCATCTATCTGGTCCTGGTTCTGGAGGGACGGAATCGGGCTCCTCTCCCGTCACTGCTAAGTGTGACGACTCGGGGACCTGAGAGCGTTGTGGAAGGGTCAGAGCTAATGCCGATGCAGTGCCCGGAAAGCAAGCAGCCGTCTCTCATTGGGGCCGATGCAACCAGACAGCCCGCCCCAGGGAGGCCCATCTAGAACAAGGCTGTCAGCCTTGCGGAGAAGGCTCCTGGAGCACCACCAGTGATAGCCACACCTATGAGTCAGGAAGGGTGCGGCATTCCGAGAGTTCGCTAGAGCACAGAGGAAAGGGAGACTATGAAAAGATGGCCTAGATAAATACAGGCGCGCACCAGTCAGGCCCCTCCCGAAGAGGCGCTCTTAAAAGTCAGAGAAATCAGCTGTTAGCTAAGAATTGCTGCTATGGAACAGTTTGTAGACCAAAGCAAAACCATTGTAGCTACGGAGATAGCCACCTGGAAGGGCTGCCCAGAACAGGTGGAGGGTGGATGGCCCCTAAACTCCCATCAGCCGTGTAAAGATTGAGGATGAATTCCTTCTGGAAGAGTGAAGAAGGAGCCGGGCGTTGATGGCGCATGCCTTTAATCCCAGCACTCGGGAGGCAGAGGCAGGTGGATTTCTGTGAGTTCGAGGCCAGCCTGGTCTACAAAGTGAGTTCCAGGACAGCCTCCAAAGCCACAGAGAAACCCTGTCTCGAAAAACCAAAAAAAAAAAAAAAAGAGTGAGGAAGGTATCAACACGGGGTCTCATGTCCAACAGTCTAGCTTCAAATTCTTCGCTATGTAACAGAGATGACGATCTCCCAATACTCCTTCGGCCTCCCAGATACCGGGGTTGCAGAGGAGCATCACATAGCCAATTAGTTTCTAATTTTATTTGTCTAAGTCAGCACACACACAGCGTAGGCACAAACCTCGTCATGCGTCTGGTACCCAGGTGGCCTCAGTGCAGAATGGACACAGAAAGGCTCTCCAAGGAGAGTTCCGGCAGAGGGAAGGCTTGGTAAAGGAAGTAAGGCAGCACTGGTGGGAAGCCCGCAGCCTTCATCCTAGGAGCTGGGGAACGTCACGGCCGAATGGTGGTGGAGGTCAGCCTGGCCTCAGGCCTCTAGTGAGTATGGGCTGGGGCTCCCTGCGGATCCTGCCCTTGCCTCCCTGCCTCTACCAATGCGCTCCAGGAAGTCTCCACGCTTCCCTCCTTCCACACACCCTCTGGAAACGCCAGTGGTCCTGGGTCCCTTGGGGTCAGCTCTTCTACCAGACGACCCAGTAGCAGAGGGGAGCAGCAGTGAGGAAAACAGGCAACCACGCTGGTGGGGCAGCCGCGACCAGTCAGGGTGGCACGGCATAGTGACACCATAGGTGACTCCTGTTATTACTCTTTTTTTTTTTTTTTTTTTTTGGTTTTTCGACACAGGGTTTCTCTGTGGCTTTGGAGGCTGTCCTGGAACTCACTTTGTAGACCAGGCTGGCCTCGAACTCACAGAGATCCGCCTGCCTCTGCCTCCTGTTATTACTCTTTTAATGTGTATGAGTGCTTTGCCTTCGTGCATGTGTGCATGGTGCCCTGGAGCCCAGAAGATGGCGTCAGAGTCTCTGAAACTAGAGATGCAGATGGTTGTTGGTGCTGGGAATCTGACCTAGATCAGATTCTGGAAGAGCGTCCAGTACTCTTAAACCCTGCTCCGTCTCTCCAGCCCCCTCGAGTGATCTTTTAAATGATTGCTTTAGGAAATATATATCTTTGGGTTATCACAGTCTACCTTGGATTAATATGGCCCTGATATGTGATATGTGATGTGTTCGTGTGTGTGTGTCTGTGTGTGTGTGCTCTCGGTAGATAAATAATTCATAAAACCTTCCCAGTAGTGTTATATTTTATTTCTACACGTTACACTTTCTAAGTCACACTATAACTCTGTGTGTGCCCACACATGTGCACGTGTTGGGGATTGAACCTGAAACCTCACATGTTCTTTTTTTTTTTTTTTTTTTTTTTGGTTTTTCGAGACAGGGTTTCTCTGTGGCTTTGGAGGCTGTCCTGGAACTAGCTCTTGTAGACCAGGCTGGCCTCGAACTCACAGAGATCCGCCTGTCTCTGCCTCCCGAGTGCTGGGATTAAAGGCGTGCATCACCAACGCCCGGCACCTCACATGTTCTTAGTTGACCCCATGAGCTACACCAATAGCCTTAAATATCAAGAGTAGCTGGGTCAGGAGGGAGGGCACACGTCTTTAATCTCAGCACTCTGGAGGCAGTAGCAGGCAGATCTCTGAGCTCGAGGACAGCCAGGGCTACCCAGAGAAACCCTGTCTCAAAAAATCCAAAATGAATAAATACATAAACATGAAGAATAACCAGTGTTCCTGCAGCTGGGGCAGAAATTAGCTGTAGAACACTTGCTTAGTGTGTGTGACCCCAGGAGTTCCAACCGCAGCGTTGCAAAAAAACTCTTTCCCATTTCATCCCACATTTCCCATTCCCAGCACCTCCAGCCCTTCCTGCCAGCCTGGGGTGCTTCCCTTGGCATTTAGGGCCTCCATCAGACTGGCCTATGGTCTTGGCTGCGAGGCATTTTCTTGATTGCTAATTGTAGGAGGAGGACCCCGCCCACTATGGGCGGGGCCACCCCTAAGCAGGTGGGCCTGGGCTGTGTAAGAAAGGTAGCTGAGCCAGCCTTGGAGAACAAGCCTTGGTGTTCCTCCATGGTCCCACCCAGTCTTCTGTCAATCATGGCTGCAACCAATGAGGTGACATAAGCCTTTCACTCTCCCCAAGTTGCTGCTGGTCAGAATGTTTTATCCCAGCACCAGGAAAGCAAACAAGGGCTTTGCTATTTGTGTTGTTTAGGGAAAATAGGAAGGAGAAGTCCACGTTCCCCGTCAGATGCAGCCCCAGTTGTCCTGAATACCACCCAGAGTGCGTAGGATGCAGAGACTCGAAATCTGAAGAAATGGATGGAGGACCAGGTCTACTGAAACTTCCTGTTTTAAGACAGAACAGATTTAAAAAGTATCCACTTGGTTGTCTAAAAAGTATCTACTGGGCTGTATTTGTTTTATGTGTGTGTTAGTGTGTTGCCTGCATGTATGGATGTGTGTACCCTATGTGTGTCTGGTGCCTGCAGAGGTCAGAAGGGGTCTAACCTCTTGGATGGAGTTACACACAGTGGTGAGCCACTATGTGGGTGCTAGGAACTGAACCCAGGTCCTTTGAAAGAGCAGTAAGTGCTCTTAATGCTGAGCCCACGTCTCTCCAGTCCCCAGATCACAGTTTTCCCTATCTCCACCTCCTCCCCTAGCCCAACCCCTTCATGAATTTTTTTTAAACCACTAATCAAGTTCAAGTGTTTCCCAAAAAAAACATGCTGCAGTCCTACCCCCTAGCAACATGTTGCTATCTTTGGAAATGGTGCCTGTGTAGAATTAGAGTAATCACTTGTTGCATGGTTGAGTATTGTTGGTGTACTCATCAAAACAGGAAGTCTGGAGACAAACACTTATGCAGGAAGATGGCTACGTGACCGAGGGAGGGATCAGAGACTGTAGTGGTGTGTCTGCAAGCCAAGGGACTGCAAAGACTTTGGAGAATCAGCAGAAGCTAGAAGGGAAAGTCACTCCACCCTCCCTGAGGGACAGCAATAGTCCATTGTATGGGCCACCAAGCTTAAGGGGCTTTGCTACTGCAATCCTAAGCAAACGCAAACAATCCCTGACTTCCGGTTCACCTGATTTTTCCCATTAGGCTGTAAACTCCATAGTGGAACAGTTCTTTCCCTTGTTTTAAAGTGTGTGTGTGTGTGTGTGTGTGTGTGTGTGTATGTGTGTGCGCGTGTGTACAGGCATGGGGGTGCCACAGCAGCATTGGAGGTCAAAGGACAGCTTTTGGGGTGATATCCCTCCTCATGGGGTCTGTGTGAAATGTGTTTCCTGGGTGTTGCCTTCTCGTTTCCGGAAGACATTGCTAGAAGAGACATCAAGGAGGCATGGGCTGGTTCCCTAAACAGGAACGGCAGAGCCAAGGGAGAACACAGGAGCCCTTCAAACGCCCGTCTGTTTAGTAGACTCCTGGCCTTACATGCCTTTCGTTCCAAAGGGGTAAAGTTGCTTCCGTGGCCTGGTCTCCGGCCGTTTGCGCATGCCAGGGAAGGAACTCAGGGACCCCTGGATAACCTGCAGCACCCAGCTGCATTTTGGGGTCTCTCATCTGAAACTGGAGACCTCTACTCGAGGTCATATCTCTGACTGCAAATTGGGCAAAAAGACTTGGAAGTGGCCATGACCCATCCGGCACACTGAAGGTTCCCTTTGAGCAAGGGGTCCTTCCCAGCTTCCACCACAAAACCCCAGTCAGCCCGTCTCCCCTGGAGCAAGAGAATAGGGATTGGCTCTGACGGAACTGGGTGCTTTGATGTCCGATGACTGGACAGAGTTCTCCAGAACCAGGGCAGGCTGAGGCCACTGGTCAGTCCTAAGTTAGAGTGTGGCAAACCGGACCTCAAGTAACAATCACCTTCCTGGAGAGGAAGGGAGGCAGAGGGCAGAGTCTCCACTGCAGACACCTGGGAAAGGTCAGTGGGAAAGATTCGGCTCCTTGCCCTCCACACCCAGCTGCCAGCTCTTAGGCCCAGGATCTGTGAATAGCCGAGCTTCCGAAACTTTCCAGTGAGCTGCTCCAGAATGAAGGCAGATCCCAGCGTAGTCTGGCAGTTTTCTGGCCTAGAAGGGGAAAGTGACTCCTAGCTTGCTTTGAGTTTGAGAGGCCCCCATAGGCTCATATATTTGCGTGCTTGCTGCTGGAACTGTTTAGGAAGGTTAGGAGGTGTGGCTTTAAGGAGGTGTGTCTCTGGGAGCGGGCTTTGAGGTTTTAAAACCCCAGCGGGTTTACCCTGCCTTGTGCTTGTGGATCAGGATGCAAACTCTCACTGCTGCCCCCGCACCGTGCCTGCCTGCTGGCCGCCATGATGGACATGGGCTTTAGGTCTCTGAAACCGTAAGCCTGAGAAAGTGCTTCCCTTTGTGAGACAGCGTCTCCGTGTATCGCCTTGGCTGGTTGGAATTTGCTGTGAGTTTTTTAAATGTGTATGTCCCTCGGTACATGTCTGTGTACCACATGCCCCTGAAGGCCAGAAGAAAACATCAAATTCTGTGGAACTGGAGTTACAGGTGGTTGTGAGCCACTATATGGGTGCTGGGAATTGAACTCAGGACCTCTGGAAGAGCAGTCAGTGCTCTTAACCACTGAGCTGTCTCTCCAGCCCAAGAAATTCACTGTGTAGACTGGGTTGGCCTTGAACTTACAGAGATTCTCCTACCTCTGGCTCCCAAGGGCTGGTAAAAGTGTGTGCCATCATACCCGGCAGTACAATTTCTTCTTCATGGTGTCTTACCACAGTGATAGGAAGGCAACCACGTCAGGCAGTTCCGGGTTTGCTCAAGGTAAGGCCTGTCTCTGCAAGAAGGCTTCACTGGGTGTGGTGCCCTGATGGTTTTCAACTAGGGTCATCCAGAGCCTTAAGAGCGGTGGTTCTCGATGGGCGGTGGTGGCGCACGCCTTTAATCCCAGCACTCGGGAGGCAGAGGCAGGTGGATCTCTGTGAGTTCGAGACCAGCCTGGTCTACAATAGCGAGTTCCAGGACAGCCTCCAAAGCCACAGAGAAACCCTGTCTCGAAAAACCAAAACAAAACAAAACAAAAGTGGTGGTTCTCAGCCTTCCTAATGCTCTGAGCCTTTAATACAGTTCCTCATGCTGTGGTGACCCCACCTCACATTATTTTCATTGCTAACTCATAACTAACTTTGCTGCTTTATGAATTGTAATATACATATCTGTTTTCCGATGATCTTAGGAGACCCCTGTGAAAGGGTCGTTCAACCCCCAAAGGGGTGGAGACGCATGAGTTGAGGCCCACTGCTCTACGTGAGGATGGCTAGGACTAGGAAATTCACAGCAGCTTGCAGTGGCCCAGGGCCATGCATTAGACAGGCTTCTGCCAGTAACAGCTACAGGCAAAGGAGAGCCGGCCTTCTTGGACACCCCGTCCTAAGGCCTGTTCTTTCTGCCTGGCACCCCAGCCCCATCTTTCTCTGTCCTTTGTCTCAGCCTGCCCCAGGCACCCCTGTCCTGCTTCACTCTTTAGTTTCTGTGATACGTAAACAGGCTGAGGAGAAAGTATTCACACTCTGTGGTTTCTGGGCGCGTGGTAAACACCCACAGTGCCTATTGTCCCTGCTTACAGATTACTAATGTGAGGGGAAGGGTCGAAGGAGAGGAACATTTACTCCAAAGGTTTTTTGTTTTTCAAGACAGGGTTTCTCTATGCAGCCGTGGCTGCTGGAACTCGCTCTGTAGACCAGGCTGGCCTCAAACTCAATAGATCCGCCTGCCTCTGCCTCCTGAGTGCTGGGATTAAAAGCGTGCACCACCACTGCGCGGCATGTTTTGGTTTGGTTTGGTTTGGTTTTGAATGTTGGATCCTAGAAGATTAGGAATTCATCAAAGCACAGGGTATCACAGAGCCACATGGAGCAAATATACCAAACGGGCTTGTCCTCTTTCAGGTCACTGTGGAAGGACTGAATACAAGCAGCCATGCCCGTGCTGGTAGAAAGATCTGGAAGGTGTCCAGTATATCTTCTGTTTTATTATGTACCTGGTGTTTTGCTTGCATGTATGTCCCTGCACCAGGTGCATGCTAGGTGTCCAGGGAGGCCAGTGAGGGTGTTGGGTACCCGCAACTGGGATTGCAGGCGTTGTGAGCTACCGTGTGGGTGCTGGGAACCAAACCCAGGTCTTTTGGGAGAGCAGTCTGTACTGTTAGCTGTTGAGCGCCCCCCTTCTTTGTCTTACAGTTGGGTGGTCGTCCACAAAGGTCCCCTTATATCTATCCTCAGCCACTGAGATCTTCTGGGTCATTTTCTGCACAGAGGATTAAAAGGTGGCCTCTAGTGGGAAATAGCAATCTGACTATAACTCCAGGAGTGGCAGACAGGTAGACCATATTCACACTTGGCAGCAGATGCTCCTGTGGGCTGAGGGCTAGACAGAAGGGTTTCCTTCTGGGGAGGCTTAGTTGGCCATTACAGGTTCCTTTGTTTCCTAAGTGAGCCACAGTCTCTGCCAAGTGTTGTCAAAAAAGGAAGCGCTTTCAGAGCAGCCCCCAGAAGCCGCAGAGGGGCACACTGGATGTGGGAGAAGCCACCCACTACTGTACTACTGTCAGAGAGCAAGACAGGGTGAAGCGCCAGTGCCCTGCCGTCAGACTGTGTGAGCACCTGGGATCCTGCCGTCAGACTGTGTGAGCACCTGGGGCCCTGCCGTCAGACTGTGTGCACCTGTGCCAGCGCCCTGCCGTCAGACTGTGTGAGCACCTGGGGCCCTGCCGTCAGACTGTGTGCACCTGTGCCAGCGCCCTGCCGTCAGACTGTGTGAGCACCTGGGGCCCTGCCGTCAGACTGTGTGCACCTGTGCCAGCGCCCTGCCGTCAGACTGTGTGAGCACCTGGGGCCCTGCCGTCAGACTGTGTGCACCTGTGCCAGCGCCCTGCCGTCAGACTGTGTGAGCACCTGGGGGCACGCGCCTGGGTTACCCATTTCCCACCGTTGTGGGGTGGCATCTAGTTTTACTGCCCACCCTGTCCCCAATGCTTCTTTACCTTAGACGCCCTTTAACCTGTTCCTGACCTGCTCACTCTGTCAGGGCTTCTCTAGAAACGGGAGGATACTGTTATCCTAGCGGCAGAGAGAGTTGTTAGACAGGACAAAGTGGTTCCAAGGTTCCCCAGTGTCCCCACTCAGCTGCCTTCTCCAACACTGGGCAAACTCAGACCCTTAGAACCTAAAACAACAACAAAAACAAACAAAGCAAAAAACCAAATCACTGTTCCTCTGTCAGGAGACCTGGTTCCAGCACCTGCGGTGTTTCCCGTGCAGATGATGAGGGGATTCAGATCTACCTGTGTTCACAACCTCCTCTTTAGAGGAGCCTCGAAAAGTCCACGTGTTGAGTTTTCAGACTATCTGCTCTCATTTGTACACATTAACTTGATTGTGGGTATGGGCTTCCAAGCAGCTTGTCGCTCCAGGCAGGGGAGTGTCTAGTGACATGGGTAATGGCAGACACTTCCGTCGGCTTGGTCTCCTTGCGAACAGGTGCTCACTGCCAGTCACTCAGGGGAAAGCTCTGGAGGACAGCTTATGAGACTCATCTGAACTGAGGCTGTAAGGACAAGTGCTTTGCATCCTGCCGTCTGTCAAGAGTCTGTCTGTCTAGTGTAAAACACTGGCCTGTGCAGTAAGTTGCCTGCACTGTTTGAGTCCCTGAGACCCTGGATTTGAAGACGGGCTTTGGCTCTCCCACTTCAGATCCAAGGATGTTTGTCCCAACATGTCCTCCAAAACCCCCTTTCCTGAGCTGGTCCCTGACTCTGACAGGGAGAAAGGAAAACACAACAGCCAAAGAGTAAAGGAAAGTACTTATTTCATGTCTAAAGCTCTGTTACAGTGTCTCTACATGCTGCCTGAAGGCGGGGTGGAGTCCATATAGGACTGAAAGATTTGGTCTTTTCCTCCTCGTTCTCCAGGGTCAGCAGATCCCAGAGGACTGCGGGCCGTCTCTCTCTTGTTCCCTTGTTCAGGGAGGCCATGGAGACCCCGTTCAGTGAGCTCTAAGGTCTAGGCCACAAGGAGGAGGAACAATACATAGGAAATATTCCCTCAAAATTCCAACCGAAGCCATGGCCAGGCAAGGCCTTTGGCCATCATCACACGGATGGGACAGCTGGTAAAAGGTCATAGGCTCCTCTCCAGCCCAGGAGACAAGATTCTCAGCTGGCCTTAAGAGTTTTGTTTTTAAGCGATAAATTTGGCCACTTGCTTGGTCTTAAATACCTAACAGAAAAGTATACTGAAGACTAAAGTGATTAGTGTTTCTTGTGGCTGTCTACAGGGCCACACTCTGGACACTGGGTTGCTGTTAGGACAGCCTCTGCTTCTGACTAATGACTTGATAGGAAGCTTCCCAGATTCAGGATCTGGTGAGCTTGCCTCAGTCCAACACCGCAGCGCTTGCCTGCAGCCAGAAAAGGCAGTGGCTATGTCGAAACCTCTCTCTCCTCTAGAAGCCGTCTGGTAGGGGCCTCACACTGATTCCAACCACTACAGAAGTTACCAACAATGTGCCTGAAAGTAGACCCTGGGCTCACTGCATTGGAAAACGGCATTGGAGGCCAAAACTGGCCTTCTCAGAGACTGGAGAGGGTGTGGGACGGATAGGCAGGGCAAGTCAAAATTAGTCTTGCCTAGTACCTGGTGGAAGGAAGTCTCTTGATAAAAGGCTCAGTATGGCAATGCCAAGTCACACATTAGGGGAAATACTGAAGGGAGAAAGGTGTGTGTGAGAGAGATGAGTAGCTTCCCATCTTCTTCTATTATCCCACCTGCCTGGATTTTGCTCTGCTGCCTGTTGCTCTGCTGCCTGCTGCTTGACTTTCCTGGGGATGGCTGCTTTCCACTGGACTATATTGTAGTGGCCTCTTGCTTTCTTCTCCACGCCCCTTCAGCCCCTCTGCTCCTCCTCCTCCGTATGAAGCCACAGTGGATACTGCCTGCTGGATTCCCCCCGGCCCCGCTTTTGATTTTTAAGGCAGGGTTTCTCTGTATTGCTTTGGAGGCTATCCTGGAGCTAGCTCTGTAGACCAGGCTGGCCTCTGTAGACCAGGCTGGCCTCAAACTCACAGAGATCCGCCTGCCTCTGCTCCCACGTGCTGGGATTAAAGGTGTGCGCCACCAACACCTGGCATTGTCAGAAGTGGGATTTTGCCACAGCATGTGAACCAGCCTCAAGACCAGGTCAAAAGCATGCCCTTGCTCTTGGACAGACACTAGACTCCACCCCTCCTCAGCAGGAAGCAGTTAGAGTGGTCATCACAAAGAGATACAGGAAAGCCGGGCATTGGTGGCGCACGCCTTTAATCCCAGCACTCGGGAGGCAGAGGCAGGCGGATCTCTGTGAGTTTGAGACCAGCCTGGACTACCAAGCGAGTTCCAGGACAGCCTCCAAAGCCACAGAGAAACCCTGTCTTGAAAAACAAACAAAAAAACAAACAAAAAAACAAACAAAAACCAAAAAAAAAAAAAAAAAAAAAACCAAAACAAAAAAACAAAGAGATACAGGAAGACCCACTGTTTGTAATTTTCTTCTTCCCCCTCCCGAAGCCATACGAGGACCTCACAACAAGCCTGTGATGGTGGCTTCTTCTTCTTGGAAGACACTGTGGGAAGAAATAGCCAGTGAGCTGGGTGTCTAAACTGGACCAGTGGGGGAGGGGAGGACTCGGAAGCCCTGTGAAGTACCTAGGCTGGAAGTCACCCATCCCAAAGCTCTCGCCAGAACTGGCTTTCCCACAGCCTGGTCTTCTGTCTCCCCGGGATGTGCCGGGCTATGTCTGCAGCCAGGTGACCCTCCCTACCCATGGCTTTAACTTAGGTCATGAGGCTTGCCTAGAAAATGCCTTTGACCAAACTGTCCTTTCCAAGTGCAGGCCAGGGTGGACAGGGACACAAGAACACCCAACTCTCACTGGTTTGAACAAACGGGTTTATTTCTTTGACACAGTAAAAGCCCCCGGCAGTTGAGTCTAAGGCGTGAGGCAGCTCTTCAGTCCCTGAGGCCCCTGTCTAACAGGTGCATGCTCCTCCCAGCCCTCAGTCACAGGCTTTGCCGTTCCAGGCAGCAATGTCCTCCTGCCCTCCTGAGCCACGGGGGTCACGGGACCCCTTGCTGGAGGGAGGCTGATGCAATGAGCAGAGACAGGGGCGGCAGTCTCGAGAGTGGGTGTCTGGGAGCCGGCCACGGGTGCTGGGGGATGAGTGAGTCAGACTCTGCCACAGCAGGGACAGTGACGTCAGCACCGTGCACGTCCCGCTCAACGAAGTGCACAATTTTAAAGGTGAAAAGTGGAAAACCTTTAGGAAAACCATCTTTGGAAAAGTCTAGTGAATGTCATGTAAATGTAGACTGCACATCAAATGACGTCATTCGCAGATCAGGAAGCCTGGCTCCTGGGAAGGAACCTCTGCAAAGCGGCTAAGCAGGAAACTGAAGGTGAGGGTCCCTGAAGGTCAGCAAGAGAATCAGGGTGGGAACTAAAGCATCTGAGGCAGCACACAGTAGGTGGAGCCCTCAGCCGGAGGCAGAAGGAAAAGAGTGTGGCCCCGCTAGCAAAACTGGACCGTATATAATTACAGGCCACACTTGTCATGGTGGGTGGGAACACAGTTCAAGAACGCTTGAAGCAACACATGGAAGAGCAGTCCTGGGTAGGGCACATGGCTGCCCCCCCCAGCATGACAGGCAGGAAGCATCTTGGGCTACAAGATCAGAGGCACAGCAGCAGGGCCGAGTCTGAGGAGCTAAGAAACACATCAAATACCACGTAAAACGAGTTTTAAAATGCAACACAATCTAAAGAGAAATTTAACATCCATCTCTGGGGGAGGGGACAATGGAGCCACAAGTGTTGGCAGGCCTGTATTTCCCACATTGCACAGCAGATCCAAGGATATACACTTATGTTTAAATGTCAGATGAAATAACTCAGCCTTGGGAACACATGCCAAAAAAACTCATCTTGGGGAATCTTATTCCTTCGTGAAAATACAGACAACTCTGGGTATGGCCTTATGAACAATTCTTCACAACTATGGACAGAGCCCACCTGGAAGGCCTAGTGAGGACATGCAGTGACAGATGGAGAGCCACTGGAAATAGACCTCCATGGTCCCTTTAAATGTTGGCACCAAGTCTGGGATCTACTGCAGACCCTGCCTGGTACTTCCCTGCAGGCTTGGTGTGCAGAGGGCAGGGTATTATTCTGTGCCTGTGTGGAGAGCAGAGGGCAGCTTGAGGGTGACCTTCAGGAAGGCCACGTGCTTCCTTTGCATGGAAGTCACCCACTAGATCAGCGAACCCACGACCATCAGCCTCCAGCTCGGTGATTACAAGAATATATCGCCACCCCCAGCAATTGTCTGGGCTCAAACTCATGCTTGCAAAGTGTTTTATAGACTGAGTCATTTCCCCAACTCTGCTGTCAGGGGCTCTAATAAGCAGAGGTCTTTCTAATGAATGTGCCTGAATTACTCAGGGAGCGCCAAGACAGAACAAGAATTTAGGTCATTCCAGGCCTCGGATGTCCCGTCACTGCCACATACACGACACACACAGTCACAGGGGAACAAGCTAGGGTGTGCTGTGACGGGTGGCGACACAGAAAGCTGGGTCACAAGGACGGCAGAGGCTCCTTTAAGGCTTCCCTACGGCCAGTACAGGAAGACACCTAACCATGGTAATTTCTGACCAGGACAGATGGCTCTCAGCTCAGGGAAGCGACAGTGAAGATGTTGGGCTTCATCAGCACCACAGATGCAGGAGGCCATGGTTCAGTGGACGAGCAGCTTCTGCTTGTGAGGTGACAGACTGTGGGAAGGAGATGAGGAAAAGGCTGACGTAAAGTCCCCAACGAGGCACAGAATGGTGACCAGAGCTTGTCTGGAGGCAACACAATTCTCCATGGTGGGAAGACTGGAAACCGGGGATGCTAATCCCTGCTTCCCCTCAGCCCTGGCTGTTCCCTCACGTAACCGAAGGGAACGCCACTGACGATCCCAGCTGTCTCCCATTCTAGGCTCACAGGCTCATGCCAGATCATCACGCCCCCAGTGCAGCCTCACAGCCTCAGGCTGAGGTTACAGGGGGGTTTTGCTTGACCTGAGTCGTGTTTCCCCGGCTGGGTAAGGTGACAACCCCTATCCCCACCCCTTGTGGGCTGCTGCAGGCCAGAGAACAGACTGGGAAATGACCAGAAATGAAAAAGCCCCCAGGACAGTCACGAGGCTGAGATTGGCTTCTTTATTTAGGAAACAGTCACACCCTGGGCCCTATCCTCCGGCCTTAGCTGAGGTTTGTCTTCTACAAAGCTATGGGGAAGCAAGAAGGCCCAGAATCCCAAACCCTGTCTGCTACCACAGGCCTCCAAACAAAACCACGCCCAGGACCCTAAGGAGCCAACCATGAGGACACGGAACCTCTTATGTTCGACAGTCACCGCAGGGCCTCAGCTGGGCCCCAAGCACAGACTCCCCTGCTCCCAGGAGTCTGCCTCAGGATGGGGCAAGAGCTTCCAGCTGCAGGGGGCACTGAGCCCCAGTCCTCTGTCTTAGCTGGGCCAGAAGCAAAATGTATGAAAATACTTTAATTATTTCTTTGAAACAGTTAAGAAATAAGGTTGGTTGGTTGGTTGATTTTACAATCCTAGTAGAAAAAAGTTCACACAAGAGCCCTGGCCCAAGGCCAGGCCCTTCCAGCCAGACTGGCCCCTCAGTAGAAGCGTTTGTTCCGCTCCTGGCGCTTTTGGAACACCACAGCGCCCACCACGGCACAGACAACGATGCCCAGGAGAGCACACAGCAGCAGCAGGAACACCTTCCACC